GGAGCGGGGAGCGGCGCCCAGGCTCCTGGCCTCCGCCAGGCAGTGTGCGGCGCGAGCTTGCACAGGCACCTATTGCTCACTGAGTGTCGTAAGCTGCTCACGATTGTGCGTCTTCCCGGAGCACCTCAGACATGGGCAGATTGAAAAGGGGTGGGCATAAAACCAACATTTCACCGAATCACGAAAGTAATATAGGTTCTTTGATGAAATGGAAAACACTTTCACCGCATTTGCCCATATTTCACCAAAAAGGGGAGGAGGGTGGATGGAGGTATGGGCTTGCATGGTCCACAGTAAGATATTTCCAAGTGGGAAACGGAATTATTCTGTTCTCTCCCCCCCTTTCCCTTTTTGGGATAGTCCCCCTCCCACTTTAAAGCTGCCGACGTGTAAGGGATACACAGGGATCTGTAGAGAAATCGACATTTGGTTCTTTGCTTTAGAAAAGCAACTTGAGAGAAGAGAGAGGAAAGCAATGACTGCGGGGGCTTGGCTAAGATTCCCCCACACACACTCCCTCCCCGCACCCTCCCGTGGGCTCCGGAGTTGTGCTGTCAGCCAGGCTTCTAGGTGGCGGGTGGGGGGATGCGGGGATGCTTCCCGCGGGTTTGGGAAGCCTTCCAGGTCCCGGTGGTTGGAGACCCAGAGCGGCAGAAATGTAGGTCTGTTTACAGGGAGTCTTGCCTGAGATCCCGCTGGGCTTCCCCAGTCTCCATGGATCTCCGGGGTCCGTGGTGGATTAGAGAAGGATTCTGCTGTGGCCCCGGAGGCTGCTGGTGGTGATCACAGCGCCCTGCGGTGCACCCCGCTCCAGGAGAAAGCGCTAGAGAAGGAGCCGAGAAGGGGTGGTTTAAAGTAACCATAATGGTGCCTCCTCCCTCCATACACACATCCCTAATTCAACTTTGAGACTGTTACTAAATTGTGTCTCCTAAGTTGGAAGAGGTCTTTGCCTGATGATTTCCGTGCACAGTCATGCATAGATGGGGGTCTTACAATGAGCTCTCTTTTACCAAGTAGCTGGGGTAGGAGGGTCTGCACTGCCATTGGGAGGGACCTGCTGGCCACCTTTAAAAACAAACAAACAAACACAACAACAATCCTCAAAGGTGGCAGAGAAACTGCTGGAAGTTGAGTATGGGCATGCTACCTTCTTCTATTTTGTAATTTTATTTTATTTTATTTTTGAGGGAGAGACAGAAAGAGAGAACAATTGATGTGAGAGAGGGGATCTGGCCTGAAACCCTATATGTCTGTGACCCTTCAGTCCATGGGCCCATGCTCTTTCCGCTGAGCCAAACCAGCTAGGGTAAACCTACCTTCTTGACAGGAATGCCCAAGGAAGTGACAGAGAGACTCAAACGTGAATCTCCAACCCCTCTCTTCGAATCTCCATCATTTGTGCCTCTCAGGAACGGAAAATAGCGGGCCTTTTCTGTACAGATGCTGACTTTCATAAGAATGAACTGGATTACCAAAGCTCCCAGGTGGGTTCAACTTTG